AACTCATTTCTACGTTTTATATTCACATGGTTTCTTTCAAATTCCCATTTGTATCCATTAATCGTATATCAAAAATGCTTCATTAGTCAATAATGTATTACTGAATATGAGCAGTGTTTTGTTGCTGTTCCTGCTGGTTCGCTACAAATTTTAAAACTACAGTTATCCAAAGACGACAAAGGTGAATTCCAAAGAGAAAGGTATTAAACTATATTTTCATACAAATAATAATAATAAACTAAGACCGTGTAGTTGTACATACCCATAATGCCAGCACTCAGGAGGCAAAGGCAAAAGGATCACTTCAAGTTTAAGATCAGTCTAGGCTACATGATGAATTCTAACCTAGCCTGAGCTACATAACAAAACTGTGGGGGGGGCAAGGAATAAGAACAGAGAGAGGAAGGAGGGGAGGATGGGGATGGAGAGAGGGAGGGATGGGACAGAAGGTGGGAGAGAAAGAGAGAAAGAGAAACAAACTGCCATGATCAGCATATAATAACAACCAATTCATCCACAAATTCTTTTCTCAAATTCTGAGATAACCAAAAGAAATGATTTTTACTATTTATTTGCTTATTTGATATTTTAGATGATGAATCATTTAAGATACAACCCCCCCTCAAAAAAAATCTATCAGTTATAATTATTAAATAAGGAGAGAAAACTTTTTGTGGAGTTTGGAATCCAAGGGAAAAGAGTGCCTAACAAGGTACAAACACAAAGTGGTAGGCAAAAATGCCCAAGGCAAGCCACAGGAGAGTAAGAGGACCTGAAACACAAGACTAGTGGGATTCTTCTCATCAGATCAGTAGTGTTCATGTCATCAGTTAGAATACAGGCAACAGGGGCTAGTGAGATGGCAAAGCAATTAAGAGTACTTGTTGCTCTTCCAAGGGACCCATGCTGAGTTCCCAGCACCCACACTGGAAAGCCCATAACCTCCAGCCCCAAGGGATCCACTGCCTGCTTCTGGCATCTGCAGGCAAGTGCACTCACATACACATACCCCCACACAGACATACACACATACACAATGTAAAAGTAAATAGATAAAAATCTTTAAAACATAAAAAAATAAGAAAGATATAAAATAATAACAAATACTTAAAACATAGAGCTCAACAGAGAAAAAAAGGGAATTATTTTTAAAATATCATCACCAAAAATTAAACAAAATTGGATAACAAAAGGGTACATCATGGGTCAAATCAAATAGATTCAATTTTACAGGTTTTTGGCCAATGGATTAAAAAAAACTTTAAGACAACAAGGTATATGAGAATTCTCCATTCATAAGATAGATTTATAAGGAAGAAATATATCATATAAGCATCTCAGCTTTCTTATGTTTCTTAGCTCCTCTGTGATTTAAAAGGTGAAAAACATACTTGAAAGTCATCATAACAGCCTAGCATGATGGTATATGCCTATGATTCCAGCACTTAGGAGGCTAAGTAAGCACGATCAGGACTTCAGGGCCAGCCAGGAGAACATAGGAGACCTGTCAAAAACCCCAGGAGTAGGGCTGGAGACATGGCTCAGCGGTTAAGAGCACTGACTGCTCTTGCATTGGTTCCCAGTACCAACATGGCATCTAACAGTCCTTAACTCCAGTTCCAGAGAATCTGATGTGTACATTGCACAATGGGTGCACTTACATGCTGGTGAAACACTCATACACATAAAATAAACTAAGCGAAAATTTTTTTTAATCCAAAAGTTGAGAAAAAATAAAAGTCAAGTGTTCTCAATGTCGCTCACTGGTAGAGCACTTGCCTAATGTAAGACCTGAGCTTCCTCAACATTAGCAAGTGGGAGGGAAAGGACATTGCAAGTATCTGTTTATTCTGTGCCATAACCTACATTGAAAGGGACTACCTGGGCTGGAGAGATGGCTCAGCGGTTAGGAGCACTGGTTGGTCTTGCAGAAGACCCAGGTTCAATTTCCAGCACCCACATAGTAGCTAACAACTGTCCTTAACTCCAGTTCCAGGGGATCCAACACCCTCTTCTGACCTCCGTGGGCAATGCAAGAAACAGGTGCACTTAGATACATACAGGCAATACACTCATACACATAAAATAAAAATAATAAATAAGGGGCTGGAGAAATGTCTCAGTTAGGTTAAGAGCACTAATGTTCTTACAGATGAGCTGGGTTCAATTCCCAGCACCTACATGGCAGCTAACAACCATCTGTAACTCCAGTTCCAGGGGATCTGATGCCTTGATCTGATGCCTTCTTCTGACCTCAGCAGGCATTGCACAACAAAGGTGCACTTACACATAAAATAAAACAATTATGCAGACAATGCACTCATACACATAAAATAAAACAATAATAAATAAAATATTTTTAATTAAATAAATATAAATAAATAAATGGGATTTTCATTATTATTGTATTTAGTGTGTTTCTCAAATTGTCATGCCTGCTCTAGGAACTTGCTGAGAAATTGTTATAGAATTTTTTTAAAGTGAAAGGCAATTTTATAAACATTTGCAACTACTGCATTTTTCCCCAAAGGGGCTTATCAGGGAAGAAAAAAAAATTCAGGTGGGAATAAAGCTTTACATAAAAAAGAAGATAACTATTTTTCTAGGAAGAGTTCCAGGGTATATAAGAACCCTAATCTTTCTACTTCTCTTGTTCTATAATTCTGATGTTAATCTAAACAATAAAGTATACTGATTTTTAAAATAATGCTAATAAAATAAAAATCTAAGCCATACAAGACAATAATACTACCTTAACGTTTAGTTTCAGGATAGGATTTTTAACTCAACACCTATTGTCTTCTATGTAAAAATGAGTACTTATGTAATTTTGCAGATAACACAAAAATAAATTCAAAAAAATCAAAACTGCCAGTAGTAGCAGAGTATGGTGGCACAGACCTTTAATTCAAGCAAACAGGAGGTAAAGGGTGGGAGTTGAGGGATATTCTTGGCAACAGAGTGAGTTCAAGGTCAGCATAGGCTACATGAGACCTCATCTCAAACAAACCAACAAAAAGCCTACAGTACAAGTGCATGGAGTACTTTACAGTATACTTTCTTACTTTTTCTATACGCAGATGCTATATACTTCACTTAAGTTATAATTAAATGGTACATAAAGTATTGCATTTTTTTCCTTAACATATTAACATTTTCTCTACTTAAATATTATGAATCTTCTAAGGAATTAATTGCACTTAAAACTTTAAAACAAAATTTTGTTAAGACAAAATAATAAAAAAAAAAAAAGCGGGGGGGGGGGGCTGGGAATGTACACTAGCTTAGGTAATCTTTGCCTAGGTTGCAAGAGCAATCCCAGGTACCACCTGAATCAAATACGCCAGCACACTCCTATAATCCCAGATCTTGAGAGGTAGAGACAAGAGGATCACAAGTTTCAAGTCACCTTTGGCTACACAGCTGAGTTCACGGCCAGCCTAGGCTACATAAGACCTTATGCAAAAAAAAAAAAAGAACACAAGAGAAATAACTCTATTTATTTGGGGGACACATTAACAAAGTACATGGGGAAGCTAACTAGTGGCTAGTATACTTTAAAAAAAAAAAATCAAAACTCTCTGAGATAGACCAGTTTGTTAAATAAAAGCAGGCAGAGGGCAAATCTTTGCGTGGGATCTCCCAAAATAAGTAAAAACATTATCCCAATCATATAATTCACCAAGGCATACCATCAAGATTCCTTCATCTCTGAAGTAATCTTACCCTCACAATATGTTACAATACGAGTCCTTTTAGGGTTCCACTACCCTGCTATTTTTTTTTTTAATGGGCCAGTACAATATTGTAAAGTGTATTACTGGTATAAGACTTTTCCTACCTTGGTTATCTGTTTTTGTATGAGTGTATATGTGTTATTATGCATACACACCTGTGCATGTGGTCAGAGGTCGATGTCAGGTGTCTTCTTCTATTTTTTCTGTCTTATTTTTCAGACACGGTCTTTCACTGAACCTGGAGCCCACTGATTCAACTGTTTAACAAGCCAAAGGGATCTTCCTGTCTCTATCTTCCCAATGAAAGAATTATAGGCAAGGACCACCACACCAGCTTTATGCTGGAGATCCATACTGAGGTCCTCATGCTTGTACAGCACACCTTCTGACTGAGCCATCTCCTCAGCACCCTAACTCGGTGATTTTAAGACTGCATTCTTCTACTTTTACTTGCATCACTAAGTTGCCAGTCAACATACAGGAATTTAGGACATGGCACTCATTAGTTAATATGCTTTTATACTGTAAAGGAATATAAAAGATAGATAAAAGTAAAATTGCTGTAAAAATTTCTGAACCAGTATGGCTAGTACTAGAATAATGTAATATTTGAGAGTAGCATTCTAAGATCCTAATTCAGAAAAATACCAAAAAAAAGTAGTAGATAATATATAAACCATTTGACAATCATTAACTACATTTAATGAAGCTCCATGCAACCAAAACTTTCTTATTTAGATCCCTATCTGTATCTTCTCAAATTCTAGGAAGGATAAATAAAAGAAAAAGATCTATTCTTTTAATTCTATCATTCATGCACTCACCCACCTATTACATCTGAGTGGAGAAAACACTGAAATCGTTGACTTTACTATTGAGACAACTCTCATGTACCCTAGGAAGGTATTCAACTCACTATATAGCTGAAGATGATCTTGAATTTTTGGTCCTCCTACCTCCACCTCCTGAGTGCTAGGATTACAAGTGTGTGCACCACCATACCCAGTTTATGTGATGCCAGAGATAGAACCCAGGGTTTCAAACATGCTAGGCAAGCACTCTACCAACTGAACTCAATCCCCAGCACTGATTTTACATTTCCATTTTAGTCAAATTTATTCAGGAAATTAGTAAGAAATCAACAGTAAAACACAAAGGTTTCTAATACACCTAACAAACTTGTTAACTTTATCAAAAGATCCTAAGCTTTACTAAAATGGGGTCCAAAAACTTTTTGGCTGACATCGTTGACACCCAACTTACCTGGTGACTCTCCTCCCACATCTGAGGCTTGAGTGGACTCTACTGAAGAAACCACACTGACAGCATTGGTAGCTGCATTTGTAGTAAGGGTGGAAGGTAAGACTGCTGACTTTTTGGTTGCAATGATGACACTTCTGTAATAAAGGAAATAAGATTTAAAAATACAGATCACTGTATTATATGCATTTCAGTGTAAAAATAAGAAAACTTTTTCTAACTTCTTTTCCTATCTCTATTTTGATATATACATTAGAATATATTTATCTGCTTTTTTTTTCGTTTCGGATGTGTGTGGGGTGTGTGTGTTTGTGTGTGTGTATGTGTGTGTGTGTGTGTGTGTATTTGTGTATATGTATTTGTGCATGGAACCCAGAAGACAACCTTGGGTATTATTACTCAGAAGCCAACCTCCTTGTTTTTTAAGACACAGTCTCTCATTGTCCAGGAGCTTACTGAGTAGGCTAAGGTGGCTGACTGATGAGTGCCAAGGTCCTCCAAATTATGTGTGCTCAGGGATGGGATCACAGAGCACATTACATCCAGGGTTTTTTTTTAACATGGCTCTGAGGCTTGGACTCAAGTGCTCATGCTTCCATAGTAAAGTAATGTACTGGCCAGCTATCTCCCTAGCCTGACATTTTCTTTTTTAGAACTAAGATAATGTCCTATGGAAACAATCCAACATTTTTGGCCTTGTTGAGACAGGGTCTCCCAGAAGCCCCAGGGTGGCCTGGAATTTGCTATGTAGACTAGGCTGGCCTCAAACTCAAAGAGATCTGCCTGCCTCTGCCCTCACAAATGCTGGGATTAAAAGCATGTGCCACCATGCCGAGCAAAATAATCCATTTTTAAAATACATATATTTTTATTGATTTTTGTATATTTTATACATTTTAACATTTAAACTCATATTTACCACAATGAATTTTTAAAAATATTTTATTTTTATTTTTATGTGTATGAGTGTATCGCCTACATGTATGTGAGCGCGCCCATGTCGTGCAATGCAGTGGAGGTCAAAAGAGGGCTTCGAATTCCCCTGGAACTGGAGTTAAGGACAGTTCATAGCCACCATGTGGGTGCTGGGAATCAAACCCAGGCCCTCTGCAAGAGCAGTCAGTGCTCTTAACCGCTGAGCCATCTCTCCAGACCCCACATTGAAATACTTTAAATTTAGGATCATCTTTAGTTTGCTAACATAAAACATAATCAAAAATAATTTTTGATAAAAGAGGAATTTTAGAATTCAAGAAGTAATTAACTTATTTAAACATCAGAATTGATACAAAAACTCAGCATGTTTCTATGACAATTGCAATAAAGTGCTAATTTAAAATCATAAACCTTGACTATCTTAAAAGATAAAACCGCATATACAAGCAATCTGTAACATGTACATCACAAAACATGATGTCATTTGATAATATTACTTAGAAAAACACTGGATGACCTTTTAAACAAAAGTACCAGATAACTAGTTGTTTATGTTGTATCTTATTCAAACACAGGTATTTATGATATACTAATTTCAATTAAAGTGCAATAGTTATACTAAATGAGTAACTAAAAGACCTTGTTAGACATAACTTAAAAGGCATTTTTAATTGAAGTTAGCTCCATAAACATGCAAAAACCTAGTTAATGAGGTAAAGAGGACAGCTGATATATAATGTACTCCCTCAGCAGCTCTTTCTTTTAATTACCTGGTGTTAACCATAAGCCTAAAGTCTTGAACATTCAATTTATTTAATCACATCTTTCCTTGACAATGCTGTAAACAGCAAGTATTCCCTTAATAGCTTTAAAGTAGCTGGTTTTTAAACAAAGTTACTTAGGTGTTTCATCCTAATGAAAGCATCCACACTTTCTAAAGCATGTAATTCCATTATTTTAAAAATATATTTCTGTTGTTATTTCAAAAGAGACAGAAAAAAGTGAAATAGGTTCCGTTTTCCTTCAGTGAGTATCATTTGAGGGCAAACACTGTTGCCAATTAAATCAAGTTATCTTGTGCTAGGAAAGGCTTATTCAATATACTTGGGGGTAGGTAGTGTCACATCATTATAAGGGTGACTGCCAATGTTAACTATACACTAAAAAATAGAAGGAACAGCCACCTGAGCCCCCCATCCAAAACGTGTGCTTAAATCATGGTAGCTTCTATCAGATGAAGATCACTGACTTTTAAAGGGAAGTAGATATGACCTCTGTGTGCACACACCCAAGCACGCATACATGTGTGCTAGCAGTACCCTCAGAAAACAATACAAAATATAATTTGTGCTTTTCCTACTGCAGGCAGAAATTTATATGTCCAATATGTAAGAAAATCTCTGTCCTCTAACAACTTGGTGGAAGAAATGAGAAATCAGGATAATTCACTTTCACATTTGATCACAAAAAAACCACCACAATCTGTTTTATGCATACAACAGAATATACTGACAGAATAATAATATTTAGAATAGTGAAATTGTGAGCATGGAGCTGTAGTTCAGTGGTAGAGCTCTTGCCCAGTATGTGTGATACCCCAGGTTTAATCCACAGCAGTACAGAAAAAGTTCGGCTTCTTCAATAATCAAACTTTTAGACATGGATATATATATATATATATAAAATCTCCAACAATTTTGCCTCCAAAACTTTCCTCAAGAAATGTAAATACACAAAAATATATACAATTATGTATGCAAGCGGATCTCTGTGATTTCAAGGCTAGCCTGGTCTACATAGTGCATTCCAGGCCAGCTGGGGCTACAAGGAGACCTTGTCTCAAAAATACCACACACGCACACGCACACGCACACACACACACACACACGCACGCACACACACACACACACGCACACACACACACACACACACACACACTGATATTAGAGAGCTGGGTGCTATAAAGTTCCAGTGTAAAAAAAGATAAACCTTCAATAGAAGAGATCTTTAGCCCATCATGTTCATCCTGTATATAACTGTCTATCAAAACCAGCAAAGGGTATCCTACATTTTAAAAGAGAATCTAGAAATTTGAACTAATCACACTCAGGATTAGTAAGACAAGAGTTGAACATCCTGTATTGTCTTTGGAAAACACAAAGAAATTAAAATATGCATTAGAGATCACAGTTTGAGAACATATATGTCAGATAATATGCTTGGGATACTTCCAGGATCTCGCTCAGGTTAGAGTTTAAGTTTCATTTTTTATTCTTCCATCCCCTATATTTTTTTCCTCCCAGTGCTAGAGATTCAATCTAAGATCTTTCACAGGCTACAAACAAATTCTACCACTGAACTCTGATATCCAGACCTTGAGTTTCTACTTAAAAAACAAACCAAAATCCTTAATGTTTATGAAGCAATTTATTGAATTTAAAATAATATCATTTATTCTAACTAAAAGTACTTCAAAAATTTTTATATAAAGAATATAGAAGGCACACAACCAGGTATACCAGCTGGTTTCCCAAAATGTCACTTAAAAGTCAAATAAATACTAAAATGAAGTAAGCTTACTTAGAGGCTGTCTTTATGGACTCACTAATTCTAGTTAACTTTTACCCATTGTAAAGATTTAAAAAAAAGAACTTTTTTTAAAGTCCCACACAAAGCAAATAAAAATACCAGGTTTTTTCTTAAACTAAGGAATTTGAAGGTTTTACTCAATTAATTAGTAGTGAAAATGCACAGCAATAAAATCTTCAAGATAGTTTCAGAATTTTCATTTCAGATATGACAAAGTTCACATAAAAGCTATTTTACTTAACAAGAAAATAGTTCACTAAAGCTGAGGACTGTATTCCCTAGGGATCCAGTTGAAAAACCCAGACCAGCCCTTGAAGTTTATCAAGATAAATCCTTGGCCTCCATTAATCGCCAGTGAGGATCTTCAAATTAGATACGAGCAAGAATCCTGGCATGGGAATGAGTGCAAACACCTTCCCTCTCACAAAGACCCACAACCTGGCAGTCTGTCAGCACCGTTTCACTCACACAGCTGTTACTCTAAACTTTCCAGCTAGTGCTTGGGAGTTGATAATTCTTAAGCTATGAGGAGAGTTCTGATTTCTGACACAGCATTCCTGAGATAAATACATGATCAGAGGGATGCTTTGAAATTCCCAAAGACACTCCATTGGCCCATGGTTGCAAGAAAGTCTTTCAAAAGGTGTCTCTTGCTAAGAAAAAAAAAGGGGGGGGGGACAGAGCAGTTTGTATTCCAGCAGACAATACGTTAAATTTGTGCCAGACATATTGTTTCAGAGAACATTCTGAAAAATGCTACCACAAAAATTAGTATTTCTTTCCTACTCCAACAAATCTCTTAAAATGCCTAAGCAGGGTTTTCTAAATAAGTTCATAATCTTACTAAAGGCATTGAGAAATAATAGACTTAATTTCAATGGTATTAAAAAAGGAATAAATTTCAAAATATAAAATTTTGGTTATTCATTAAAAAAAAAACATTTTAGGGGATGGAGAGATGGCTCAGCAGTTAAGAGCACTGATTGCTCTTGCAGAGGACCCAGGCTTGATTCCCAGCACCCACATGACAGCTACAAACCATCCTTAAATCCAGTTTCAGGGGAATCCAAAGCCCTCTTCTGACTTCAGCAGCACTGCACTCACATGTGGGCAATACACTCATATATATAAAATAAAAATAATGAATAAAATATAAAAGAAATTTTTACAAAGCATTTTAATAGGCCCAAAATATTTAACCCATATTTAAATATTTCTGACTACTACTGAATCTAACACTAACACAAATTTAAGCAAATTTTAAGTTGGTCAAGGTAGCTCTCACCCAAAATCCCAGCATTTAAGAAGCTGAGGCAGTAGGACTGCCATAAGTTCACAGGGCTGAGGCAGGACAATCACTTGAGCCAGGAATCTGAAGCTGCCTGGACAACACAGTTAGACACTAGATTAAAAAAAGAAAGGGGGGGGGAGTAGCAACTTCATCAAGGAAAAGAACTAAAAAATATATCACAACAACGTGAAAAACAGATTCATAACAAAAGGCTAAATTACAATGATAATCTGACTTTATCATAGATGATTTTAATATCAACATAATTAATAATATTAGAAGGAACTAAATAGAGAATCATAATACCGTAAGATGGATGAGCAAACAATCTGACAAAGATGATGGAATTCTGTAGTATCTATTCAGAAAAAATGTCATAGCAGTAGAGAAACTGAGACATAACATTGCAATCACTAATCAGAGAAAACCATAAGCCAATGGACAGAATGTCATAAAAAGTATCACTTTTCCAACGTTCCTAACAAAGATGTATTAACCTGAATCTATTTCTAAGAGTAGATAAATATAAAGAGCAGTGAAAGCAGCTGGGCTATACTCTTCCAAAGTATCAAGACTGCCCCATTCCAAGAAAGACATGAAGTATCTCATACTGAAATAAACTGGAGAAACAAATAACTAGATGCAACACATAATCCTGAACTGGATCCTTTTACTTAAATGAACACTGTTAAACAGACAACAGCAATTGCTCTTCGTTTGCCCATCAGAACTACATGATAGGATCCTATTGCTGAAAACACCAATCAGTTTGGTTGCCAGACAGCGAAATTCAAGTTGGAATGGGCCTGAAAGTTTCCTCTCTTCTAGGTAGCTTTCATAGTGCCAGAAAATGCTATTCAAGATACTGAGGGATCAAAGTCATCAAAAGTCTTACCCAGATGTGAATCCAACCTACCAGGTAAGATGTGCTCACTAGTGCAAAGTAAGTCATGTGACTGTTATGAGTAACCAACCATTTTTCTCATTGGATTTGAGGCCTGCTCTACAGGGGAGATTTCATGCTTGGAACTGTAAATGTAGTCAAAAGTGGATGGGGAGGTAACAGGAACCAAGGAAGACTCAGTTACTAGTATTGTTTTGCTAAATGGATACGTTGTCAAATTTCATTCTAAAACATTAGTGTTTTTATCCTTAGATGAGTGCTGCTCTCACCCTGAGTCAGATAAGTTCCTGTTTGCAGTAGCCACTAATTAAGACATAGGCTCACAAGTGGTCAAAGTGCCGAGAATAAGTGATTTGTGGTTACTCAACCCTAATGGGACACTTATAACACTCACTCCAAGGCTTAGGAAACTTGTAGAAGAATGAGCAGACAGAATGGACATGAAGGGTGGGGAGGAGTGCTATGACACATTGCCTTCTGAACTCATATGACATGGCTGTTGCATCTATGAACTTACAGTGGTAGTGGTTACTGCATGAGACCTGCACAAGATTGGGTCCATCAACATTCCATCATAATGGAAGAAGGGCTCACAGGGCCTCATTAAGGAACTATGGGCAGTTAATGGTTGCTGGAGGATGGGGAGTCATATTCCTCAGGGGTGTAGCCACTGGTAAATTGCTTTGTTCAGGTAAATAACCCCCTACCCATGCTCATACAAGCAATCTTAATTGAATGCAGGGGGAATCTGAAATGACTAGGTGTTAGAGCACATATGGTTCTTGCAGAGGACCTAAGTTTGGTTCTCATATTAGGTGACTCGCAACCCTATAACTCCAGTTCTAGGAATCCTCTGGTCTCCTTGAGCACATGTACTCAATGTGCACATACAAAAACACAGACACACACACACACACTTCATTTTTTTTAATTATGTGAAATAAATAAATAAATAAATAAAAATTAAAAAATAAATGCAGTGGGGCACACACACACAAAAACCAAAGCATGAAGGTAGAAAGGGGACCTGTTGGGAACATTTGGTAAGAGGAGGAGGGTTGTAAGAGAGGGAAATGAAAGGGGTACGACTGAAGTACAGTGAGTATGTGTATGAACTGGAAAGAATAAATAAAAATAAATGAAGGAAAAATTTAACGTTATTTAATTATCAAAAGTTAGAGAGTACTTGAAGATTAATAACCAGTATTATATCTATATTAATTTTCTCATTTACAAATATAGAA